TAGGTCAGAAAAATGTTTGCTATACTAAGAAATAGACCTGCATGCTTGATATCTTGTTTTTGATAACGTTTGTGTTTGAGTCACACTTCCAATTCATTTGAACAGAAAGTAAAAAACTTTCTATAAATGTTCTGGATCATTTTAGAATTCTGCTACCTGTGTGCTGACAGGAGACAAATAGCAATAGCACTTAGACTTATATACTGCTTCATAGTGCTTTTACAGCCCTCTCTAAGCAGTTTACAGAGTCAGCATATTGACCCCAACAATCTGGGTCCTCATTTTACCCACCGCGGAAGGATGGAAGTCAACCTTGTGTGCAATTGGAAAAGAGTTTAGTGATAAATTAAAAGGATATTGAAATGCTGGAGATTTTGTTATCAGATCCCTTCCTTACCCTTGTAGATGTGAAGCTATTTTACACACACAAAGTAACTTTTCGATCTCAAAAATAATCCTGTTTTTCACTGTAGACTATTTTTCTTCCACTATTGAACAGATTTGAAGCAAATAATCATATAAAGTTCAGGAAAAGCATGTTATGGCGTTTAAGCCAATCCAGAGAAGATAAAAATGAAAGGTTTTCCTGTAAATTCACTTAGAAAGCTTAAAGATTCTTTAGGGCCCAAACTTTTACAACTTTTCACTTTTGTAACAGAACTCATAAACCATTTAGACATAAAAATATGTGTAACAAGAAAATAGAATGTACATGGATAGAAAAAAGGGGAAGAGGTGAGTTCAGTAATTGACAGTCCAATCCTGAAATCACGGCTCTTTGTTCTCGGGCCCCACTTTTTTGCCTGTGTGATCAAATCATGGGAACACAATTGGCCAGCATTTGATAGCTCTCTAGAGGATAGATCAGCGCCGAGTCAAATGTGCCAGAGAGGAATGGGCAATTTTTAGTTAAATGGCGACTTCATAAGATTACTGTGAATGTTCAGGATGTTACAGAAGACATCTGAGCAAGCAGCTGCTAAGACCTGGAGATGGAAGCCAGTACAGTAGCGCAGGGATTCGCACTCTGAGTCATGATCTCCCAGGGGATCACAAGCAACTTGGCAGGTTACAGATCTTTTAAAAACCAGGCTTGAACAGAGACAAAAGCAACTTTCACAGTTCCTCCACTTTGCCTTGCACAAGCAAGATTCAGAGGATAGAATAGAAGGCTCTGTGCAAGCCAGGAAAAATCTCAAGGATGCTTAGGAGTTGGCTTGGAGTTGAGACAAATACACAGTCAAATTATGATGGAAATTGTTCCAACTCCTAATTGTTTTCAGGTAAAGGCTTTCAAACCGGGAATTTCAGCCACTGCTCATCAGTTATGATCACTGTAGCCTGTTTCCCTGAAAATAAGACCTCCGCGGATAATAAGCTCAATTGGGCTTTTGAGCGCATGTGCTAAAATAAGCCCTCCCTCCCCCCCAAAATAATGTTCTGCCAATATTCTGCCCTTTGCCTTTTGATAGGGTTGCAAATCTGTGTGGAGTTTCATGAGCACAGCAAAGTGTTTTCCTGCACTTCTAGTGCTAGACTTGATTCCTTAGAGGTAGTCCATTCAACACTTCCTCTGAGGAGATTCACATCGTGAGGGCACGCACAATGTACAACCATCAGCCTTTTTTAATTTATTCATTGGATTACTATTGGCTCTGGTGGAATTCTTGGAAAGAAAAGATGATAGAAGTGGAAGCTTTGCAGATAACCAGCTCCCACATAATCACTGTATGCTTTCTGAATTAAAACTAAACTTGTATGATGTGCACCAAGGCAGATGCTATGGCCATGGATACATGAAGCCATAGAGAAGCCTAGAGCTGGAAAAGACCAATTAGCCTATCAAATCGTTCCCGACACTAGGGGGTGGGGCTCCTCTCTGTTTTAAAGCCGAAGAGCCAGTGCTATCTGAAGACATCTCCATGGTGATGTGGCCAGCATGATTAAATGCCGAAGGTGCACAGGATGCTGTTACCTTCCCACCAAAGGTGGTCCCTATTTTTCTACTTGCATTTTTACAGGCTTTCAAATTGCTAGGTTGGCAGAAGCTGGGACAAGTAATGGGAGCTCACTCCGTTACATAGCGCTAGGGATTCAAACCGNATCCTTCCGAGGTGGGTGAAATGAGGACCCAGACTGTGGGGGTGATATGCTGACTCTGTAAACCACTTAGAGAGGGCTGAAAGCCCTATGAAGCATTATATAAGTCTAACTGCTATTGCTATTGCTAATGAAAAGAAGGATTTGGGGAGATATGATAGCAATGTTCCAATAATTGAGGGGCTCCTACAAAGACAAAGTGGTCAAACTATTTTCCAAAGCACCAAAAAGCAAGACAAGAATCAATGGTTGGAAACTAATCAAGGAGAGAAGCAACTAGAACTAAGAAGAAATTTTCTAACAGTGAGAGCAATCAACCAATGAAATAGCTTGCCTTCACAAGTTGTGGGTGTTCCATTACTGGAACACCATTTGAAATGAAATAGAGTCTCCTGCTTGACCAGGGGGTTGGACTAGAAGACTTCCAAGGTCTCTTCCAACTCTATTATTCTATGTTGTATACGGGCCTGTGTTCATATATCAACAACTTGTTAAGAACTGTACTTCTAACAGTGAAATTTGAAAGTTGATATGGTTTTCTGGGCAGAGGGATACAAGTAATTTTTAGGAAAACTATTTCATTGACCAGAATTTAAGTGAATAAGTTCCATTGATTTTTCCAGTTGAAATTAAGACGTGACTTTAATTGAAAACTGTTCATTACAAAACAGGTTATGCTTTTTAGGACATCATCATGCAACAGGAAAGTCTTAGCCATGGTAAATCACTGCTTTGATCTCCAAAACAGGTTAAATTTGACTTCTTTGGTTTCCTCTTTAAACTTCAGAGTTGGAGTCAGCTATGTCCATTCCTTTAAATCAAGATTGTGTAACTGGTCTGTGTGAGGGTCACAATTCTGTTTTAATTAATCTCCCAAGGACCACAGAGATTATTTTATGAATTAAATTTATATGATGCCTCACAGTTGTTGTTGTTTTGCTTCCATATTTTTTACCCTTTTGGTCTTTTGTTTTCCAAATTTAAGTGGTAATGTTAGAGAAGGAGGCTCTGGGGCAGTGGTGGGTTTCAAAAATTGTTTGAACCGACTCTGTGGGTGTGGCCTCCTTTGTGGGAGTGGCTTGCCACCCATGTGACC